CTGGCACTGAACCTGTCTCACTGGATCGTTGCCATGCCTGTGGGCAGCATATGTGCTGTCTGGGGAGGTCGTCACTGCAACAGCAGAGCCGAATCCTGGTGAGAGAGCCCCATGGCCCTCTGGGTCTCCATCTTTACTACTAGTCCTTCCCAGGGAAGGTTGGTGATCCCTGCCTTAGAGCTGGGGTCGAGAAGCCAAGCCAGGACTTCAGAATCCTGGTTCAGGTCTGGCCTGTGTGGGTCCCTGTGATCATCTGCCTTTGTGATGCTGGCACTGGCTGAGAAGGGATGTGGAGGTTTTCACTGTGACTCCTGGGCCTGGGAAGGAAACTTGACTTGTCCAAGGCCCACAGAGTGGACACTAAAGGCAAATGTGATCGCTGCCCAGGACTGTACACTGTGATGTTCTTGGCCATGGGCACCGGTGCTGCTCTGGAAAATGAGGGCAGGTCTGGAAGATGAGCATCAGGACATCCTCAGTGAAGGGGCTGAGGGCAGGGCCTCTTGTCTCATTGCACCCTCTGTTGGCTGACAAGTGTCACTTCCGACCTGCAGAGGCAGAGGTGGAAGTGCCGTGACTCAGGACCTGGACCTGCAAGTTGCCTGTGCATGTGTGTATGCATGTGTACGTCCTTATGGACCCCTCACTTTTCATGCTGACAGCTGCCCTGTCATGCCACGCCATCTGTACACAAAGAATTCACCACTTTCTGTCCATCTTCTTTTTTGCCTGGGAGGGGAGACATGATTTATTTATTCGAAAGACAAAGTGAGGGGGAGAGGGAAAGCAATAGAGGGATGAAGGGGGAGAAAGAAATCTTCCGTTTCCTGGTTTACTCTTCAAATGCAAATTTACATTGCAAATAGCTGGATCTGGACCTGTCTAAAGAAAGAATTCTGGAGCTTCTTCCAGGTTTCCCACATGGGTGCAGAGAAACTGGGTCTCAAACAGGCACCTATATGGGATGCTGGCATTATAGTGGCAGCTTTGCCTCCTATGCCACAAGGTAAGCCCCTCTGTCCATCTTTTTTAAGCCAGTCACGTCCTGCAGGGGTTGTAGGCATAGTCCTGAATTCTTGTCCCAATGTGCCTTCTCCCGTCCTTCAGCACACCTTCAGGGCCTCCAGGGTCTCTCTTCACCACTGAGGCTTTTCCTTGTTCCTTGCGGTTCTAGCCCCACTTCTCTCTGCCTTTCACTACTTCTTTTCCTGTCCTCCATTTCAGCCTTGCCTGTGTTACCTTCAGTGACACTGCCATTCCACTCTTCATCCTCACAGGTTTTTATGGGTACCCCTGAAACTAACCCAGCATCCCAAAAGGATGGCTGCACTCCCTCTGCCAAGATGCCCTCCTGGGAGCTTTCCAACTGGTTTATGTAGTTTTGTTTTGAGAATATGGTTATGTGGCTAGTCTTCCTAGCACATTCACAGATCTTTCTCACTCTGTGGCCAGGAAGTAGACTGTTAAAACCCAAGACTTGGCAAGTGCCTGTTCTACTTGCTAAGGGATTGCTCTTGGTAGGAACAGTCTGGCTGAGGGTATGGCTGGCATCCAGTGTGCCACAGGAAGATGGCAGTCCCACCTCCCTAGCCCAGCTGTGGGCATCTGTGGAAGGAACAAACCAAATGTGGTTTTCAATGCAGGTGCTTGTGAGAAAAGTGTCCCCACCCTTTCTGCAGGCAACAGGGACTCCTGAGCTGGTAGTGGCTTCCTGCCTGCTCCATGGGATTGTCTGCCCCATTTCTATGGACTGTGCTTGAATCCATTTGCTACCAAACCCTTGTTCCCCAAGTGCAACATTGAACCTGTTCACAACTCCTTTCCTAAGTCCACCCTGCTTTCCCAGCGTGCCTACTGTCACTCCCCTGGGTACAGAGAGGGCCCTAGTGCCTCCCTGGGGAACTCTGCCTGGTGTCCTAGCATTTAGGATGGATACGTACAGCCACGTATTGCATCCCCGAAACAATGTCTGTCCCCTTCTCATCTCAGCTGGCTGTCAGCCCTTCACTCTGATTCCTAGACCATACACCTGCCTTGGGCTGTCAGGTGTCTTGCCTCCTGCCTGCCCCAGGGGTCAAGTTCAATAAGAGACTTAAAATGGAATGTAGGAGACCTTAGAGTTCATGAATGAGCAAAGTACCCCAAAGAGCAAAGCAGAAAGTCTGGGTGGATTATGGGTGGATACTTTGGGCAGGTACTCCCTGGTGCTTGCTTGCATCTTACACAGTGACAGCAGGAAGAGTCCAATGAGACATGTGGCCTGAAGCAGGGTATGCACATGTGTGCAGTGTGTGCCTGTGGGCAGCAGCCCCACAGCATCCCAGAGTGAGAGGCAAACAGCCCCTCTGGTACCTCTTCTCACCACCCAGCAGACCCTGTTCAGGAAGGGGTGTGGGCAGGTGCCCTGCCAGCCTGGATCTCAGCCCCACTGGCAGACAGCCCCTGGGGAAGCAGCCCAAGCCAGGAGCAGCTCCAAGAAGTCCCCTGCCCCTCAGCTTCGCCCCTCCCACAGTGGAAACTTCCATTTGCACTTCCTGTCCCCTCCCCACTTATTCCCAAGTTCATCTTCCTTGTTTGCCAGCCTTAACACAGATCCCTTTCTAAAGGGCCTGCAAGTGGGGTGCTTGGATTTTATGGGTTTGGTGGGGGGACTTCCTGCAGGCATGGGCCCATTTATCTGAGGGTGAGGGAGGAGTCTGAGCAGATGACTACTGGACCTGTTCTTCCCTCCTGGGCGGCAAATCAGTGGCTTTTCCACCTGCACTCTTCCATGCTGGGAGAGGCAGGGAGCCGAGGCGCTGACAGCTTGTGTAGGAACCACACGGTGTTGGCTGCACTGGGAGTTTGTAGCAGCCTTGTTTCCATACTGACAGCAAACGCCATATGGAGAGAGGAGAGTGCTGTCAGATGAACTGTTAAGGAATCACAACGTAGTGCAGGAAGCCTTATACTGCTGTTGGAAATGGGGACAGGGCTTGCTGCTGTCACACTGCGCACTGGTGCTCATTCCCAAACCAAATAAAACTGGAGCTTGGTGCAAAGGAGTTTACTCTAGCCCTGTGTTTGTGCTGGGGAGCAGGGCTGATCGGAAAAGGATGTGAAGGTTTGTTTTCCTCCCCCTGGGGGAGCAGGTGGAGTGGGAGGTAATGAGAAGCCAGGCTGTGTTGCAGGGCACCTTGCTAACAGGTGCAGGTTGCAGACCTGGCGCAGGCTGTGGAGACCAGGTGTTCCACCACGGCTGACAGTAACACTCATCCAAGTTGACATTTTATAACTGTCACTTAGGATCTTGTCTGTTCACCCGCACAACCCCCCTGCTGCCCCTTCCAACAAGGCAGCCCGCCTGCCCCTCCTGCTTGGAAGCTGCTCACACGGAGGCTAAATGCTTGTCAGAGCACCGCCTGTGAACTATTCGGGCCTGCAGTGGCCAGGCCCATGCTCCCAACTGAGGACCAACGTGAAAGCAATGCTCCCTGAGCAGTCTGAGCCAGCCTACTACTTGGGGAGGGGACCAGCGGTTGCTTGGCAAGTGTCTCATCCCACTGGTCAAAGTATCCACTGGAGAGAAGATGACATTTTTGAACACTTTCATCTACAAGTGATACATAGAATTGGCAGATTCCTACAAAGTAGATCCTGCCCTTAGTTTACCCATGAAACGGGCCGTGAAACTTCCCAGCCCATGTGCCCAGCTCCGTGATTCTAAGAGCCAGATGCCCCACACCACCTGGCTTAAGCACTGTCCCTGTCAGGTTAATGGAGGTCCAGGCACAGGCTGACCTCAGGCCTCTCTTCCCTCAGCTCTGCTTTTCCCTTGGCTGCCTTTGTTCTCTGTGTGGAGGAAGGATGGTCCCTGTGTCTTTGCCTGGCCTTGGTATCGTGGCCTTGGCATCCTGGATGGATGAACAAGAAGTTTTCCAGAAAGTTCTGGCAAATGCCCTGGGAGGATGCCACCCGGGGTCTGCTCAGCTACATACCCTGACCTGCTTGGCCAAGGCTGAGTCCCATACCTGGCTCTGTGCCATCAACTCCACTGGGATGGAGGAAAGACTTGGCTGGGCTGGCGCAGACTTGGGGAGAGCAAGAAGGAAGATGGAATACATCCATGGTAGAACTAGGTTATACAGTTTCTGGTCTGAGTACTTTCTATGCATTTATTCCATTGTCATGATAGTCCTGGAAAACAGGGAGACCTCACTGCAAACAGCACGGGAAGTTGAGGCCCAGAGAGGGCCAGTGAGTGACTTGAAGCAGCACAGCAAGTCATTGGCCCGGTGCCACGTCCCTGGGCCTGTGGAGTTCTGTAGTATACTCTTCAGAGCCCTCCTGGCTACTGTGTCACTGAAGCTGGATCACTGCCCGTCCCTGTGCCTCTGGCCACTCAGCCAGAAAGTACAGGGCTTTCGTCACTGGAAACGTCCTGAGACTGGGCTTTGCTCCAGTTGGGCAAAAACAAGCTGGTTTTTTTCTAAAAACCATAGCCACTGGGATGCTATGAATTACAAGTAACTCAAGGATGTTTTCCAACTTCCCTGAACAAAGGGAATGTGTTACCTCATAAAGCAGCTTTTCCGATGTGGTTTGGGCTGCAGGCGTGGAATGAGCCAGAGATGCATGACCTCACCAGGGCGCCAACTAGACCCCAAGGCTTCCTAGCTCTTCTGTTGTCCTGCGCCAGCCCCACCCTCAAGGTCACTCTGAGGCAGCATGGACAACACCACAGCAGACCCTGCAGGACCTCAACCATGCACCACAGCCCCTATCCCACTAATCAGGGAATGCAACGTGCTGATTGGTCAGCAGAAGCACCATCTCCAGAACTGCTGGTCTTTCCGTACAGACAGTGAGAGGCTGGTGTCTTCCTCCAGACTCACCAGGATCCTGGAGGATGAATGAGGTCCCGGGAGCTTCTGGTCACCTGTCTGCCTCTGGCGGTAGAGGGGCTTGGCACCCAACCTGTCCTCCCTGGGTCTCACCATCCTCTTGTTGTCTTTCTGCAGACAGAGACTACTGCAGTTTATGTGACAAACAGCCCATCGGGAGGCTGCTTTTCCGGCAGTTCTGTGAGACCAGGCCCGGGCTGGAGGGTTACATTCAGTTCCTGGATGCCGTGGTAAGTCCCTGTGGTGGGGTGGCAGTGGGTGGGGGTGGAAGGAGCCTTTGGGGCTCCCAGTTTTGCCCAAGAGGAAAGGCATACTTCAGGACTGAGGAGCACGAAGATTAAACAGGTGGCCAAGAAAAAAAAAAGCTGCCTTAGAATCTCAACCTGGCAGGTGGCCTCGGCTGGACTACAAACTTTGCTGGGCCTTGTTGCTACTGTTATAAAGTGATGCTATCAAATCCCGCTGCCAGGAGCCTGGGTCAGCAGGAGAAGCCTTGCCCAGGAAGTGGGGTCATCTAAGGTCCTGTGGTCACTTGCCAGCTGACAATCTAGTTCAATGTTGGTTGGCATTTATTTGTCTCCGCTGTGCTTCCAACTCGAGTGCCAGCTTCCTGAAGGCAGGCCCTGAGCTCTGTCCATCTCTGCTCAGCATGGTGCCCCACACATGCGGACACCCAGTGTCCATGGGATGACTGTGTGCTGGCCATTTATAGGTCTGGAGGAAGTGTCATGCCACAATGAGTTCATTTTCTCTTTGACTCCCAGCTCCCTGTACCTGCAGCCCCTTGAGGGGACCACTACCAGGGCTCACTCCAGTCTACTCTGGCGCTGCCACTCCAAGCCATTTGTCAGATTCTCCACTGCTTGTCAGGGCGTTTCATCCAGAAACTTGATCACATTCAGTCGTCCTTTCTGAGATCTGGAGGGTAAGAGTGACATCAGAAGGGGTAGATGGGACAGCGGGTATCTGTCTCCCGCTCCTCCACTTCAAGATTTATTTGAAAGGCAAAATGACACAGAGAGACAGACAGAGCTTCCATTTGCTCCCCAGGTGACTGCAGCAACCAGGGCAGGCAAGACCAAAGCCAGGAGCCTGGAACTCCACCTGGGTCTCCCTGTAGGTGGCAGGCGTCCATGTACCTGGGCCGTCATCCGCTCAATGTTTCCCCAAGTGTATTAACACAGAGCTGTGTTGAAATGGATTCGAACTGGCATTTGTATGGGATGCTGGTCTACCTCACCACAACACTGGCCCCTGAATCGATCTTTCTGAGCTGGTAGCAGCCATTGGTAGGCAGAACCCCAAGTCTGTCCACTGGCAAAGGCATGTGGGCTGACCTAGAGAGATCTCATCCTGTGGTCCTTGCTTGGTTTGCTGACTAGAATCCTAGCCATAATGATTCAGTCAGCAAGCAGGCAAGTCCACACAGGAAATTCCAGATCCTTTCTCCCCACTTATGTTTTCAGGACATGAGATGCGCCCACTAGCATGCTCCAGGGGTAGTACTTCGCAGTTTGACCATGTTGGGTGCATGTTGATGCTCAGTAGTCGTTTCTTTTCCTTATGTTTCTTGGGCTCGTCACTGGTCAGTGGGAGCCCCTTCTGTTGGCTCCAGAGGCCTCAGTGGCAGCTCTTCCCTATGGCCTGACGGCGAGGGGTGACCGTGGGCAGCTGGGTGGTGGGAAGGAGGACAAGGCTGGGGCAAGGTCAGGGGCTGCATCAGACACAGTTTGTCCCCTAAACACCCTGATGGAGCTGGTCAGGGGCACTGGTGTTTGAATACATGAAGACTGAGAACAGAATAGGCTAGAGAGCACTGGAACTTGTCAGCTGCAGGCTGGGTGAGCTCAGCACACAGGTCACTGTGGATGGAGAGGAGCCACCAGAAACAAAATTAAAGTTCCAAACCAAGGGCTACTGCTCACTGGGACAAGATGAGGTGGAGGCAGCTGGGGGACCTGTCCCGTGATGTGACAGACAGAGCAGGGGTGAGGCAAAGCCTGAGAGCCAGTGGAATTTTCCAGCCCTGAGTTTTGTTAGATGCTTATGGGCAGCTTGGAAAATGGGGGAAAACAGTCCGATGGCCACCGTTTTCCTTGTAGTCGTGCAGTCATTCCCCTTCTCTGGGCCTACACCAAGTGCTGTTTTTTGGAAAGGAAACGTGGGCCTGGCTGCCTGCGTTAATGCGTCCGATGCCCGTGACGTCCGCCTCCACAGAGCTGCCACACACACCCGCCCTGGGCCCATCCCTGGGAATGAGCGCGCCTGTTCATCGCCCGTCCTGACGTCAAGCGACAGCCCTGGGACGCCTCTTTTACGCATGAAGACTTTATTGAGTTTTCCAGGGCTGGCGTAACTTCTCGTTTGCAGTCTGTTTTTTTCCCCTCTCTGCTGCCTGCAACTCAAGAGGAAAGAGGCAGTGGCATTGCCCTATGGGTGTCGCAAACCTGCCCGGGTACCCTGCATGGCTCAGCCAAAGCTACCATCACCTCATTTCTGCCTCATTGCTGAATTTCTGCCCCCACCCCCAAGCCATGGAGTTTCTTAAAAATAACCTGTGTTGCCAGTCTCTCCTCTTGCCTGGTCCTCATGTCTGCATTTTTTTGGGTTAGGTAGAAACCTGCAGCTGCTTTTAAATAGGGCCCAGGTGACCCCCTGGGCAGTGGCACTGTTTGTGTCGAATACGGCAGGAGTAATTCAGCCTTCAGTCTTGGGTGTCCAAGGGCTTCCAGAAAGCTGAGGAAAGACGCCTCGCCCCCCAGCAGCTTCCACCATTGCGCTCCCAGCAAGAGGTGGTGTCAGTGGCCTAATCAGGGTTGTGACCAAGTGTGGTCTCTGGAGGACAAAGAGGGCATCCCCAGCTGGTCAGGAGACTGGAGGGTTCTGGCAGGACTCAGCTCCCACAGGATGACAGAGCCTTGCTTTGGGCATCTTCAGAATCCATGAGCTTCTCTCCAGCCTAGAGTTCTCTAGAGGCTGGCTCATCAGAAAGTCCTATCCACACACCTGGATGAGCCTTCAAGCTCCCAGCTCACCTCTCTAGGCTTGGGGTCAGAGGGCTTGGCAGATACTAAGTGTCTCCTACAATGCCAGGCCCAGGTCCAGCAGCTGGGGGCCACGTGATGGACAGAAGAAAATCTCTGGCCTCACAGAGCTTGCTGTCTGATGAAATGGAAGAGAGGAAAATACACAAGGAAGGGGAGCCTTGAGATGATACAATAAGCAAGTCAACAATGGATTGAAATCACAGTAGATAGCCCGGCATCTCATGAGCTTGTGGGCTATTGGTTTGGAGATGGTTTGGCTGAGATGCTGCTGGCTTGAGGCTTCCAAAAAGGCAGTGTTGCAATATTGAACGAGGCTGCAGTCAGTCACCTGCAAACTTGACCATGGCCTGAGCATCTGCCCCTGAGATGACTTGTGTGGCTGTTAGCAAGAGGCCCCACGTGCTCTGGTGGTCCCTCTCTATGGGATTCCCCTCCCCGGGCATCCTCGCAGCAAGGCAGGCTCTCTCCTGAGCGAGCCAGGCAGGAGAGCTGGTTAGAGCAGCAGTGACTTTTATGATGGCATCTTGGTGTCCACGCTGTCCAGTTCCCCTCCGCCCCCTGATCCCACTTCCCTATCACCCCAGTCACTGCAGGAGCGCACCGTGCACTGTGCAAGAGACTTTGTGAAGGGGATGAGAAGGGGGGCAAGGAGGATGACTGACAGCCCTCATGGGGACTACAAACACGAGGGTGCCACAAATGAAGTCCTGGATCAGGAAATATGCTAAAGCCTTTCAGGCCATTCTGGAAGCTAGAGCTGTGGAAGAGCACCGGAAATGGGGCGGGCCATCACCTGGCCTTAGACATGCCTGATTATCTGGCGTTTCACTGTACAAGCGTTTGCTTGTATAGGAGCAAGCACTCCACTTCCCTCCCTTGTGGGACGCACCCAGCATCCACTCATCTTTTTTTTTTTTTTTTTAATTTTTATTGGAAAGGCAGATATACAGAGAGGAGAGACAGAGAGGAAGATCTTCCGTCCGATGATTCACTCCCCAAGTGAGCGCAACGGCCGGTGCTGTGCCGATCCGAAGCCAGGAGCCTCTTCCGGGTCTCCCACGCGGGTGCAGGGTCCCAAAGCTTTGGGCCGTCCTCGACTGCTTTCCCAGGCCACAGGCAGGGAGCTGGATGGGAAGCGGGGCTGCCGAGATTAGAACCAGCGGCCATATGGGATCCCAGGCGTGCAAGGCGAGGACCTTAACCACTGCGCCATCGCACCGGCCCATCCACTCATCTTTATCCTATCACTGCTGGGAAGAATGGAGGTGGCAGTAACTACAGAGGCACCAGGAGACCCCTGGGGCTGCTGGCAAAGCCAGTCTCTGGGAGAGAGTCACCTTGAACATGAGTTCCCTTAGGAGATCTCTATGGGGTTACCCAGTCTGCTGGGCACCTCACCCCTGGTTATCAGGACACTTCCATGTTGTGAACGATGTTGCCCCTAAATGGCAGTTGAGGGGAGCAGGGCTGAACCTATGGTCCCAAGTGGCTGGCAAATCCCTTCTCTGGGACTGACAGAGTGGAGGGAGAGTCGTCCTCTCCTCTGGTAGAGAAGATGTCAAGTAGAAAACCAGACACCATTGGCTGTGAATGCACACACTTACACATTCAGACACAGATGCAAGGGGTTCCGGAAGAGCCTGTGTGCCTGGACCCAGCTTCCTTCTCTTGCTCCACATGTCCCTGCATTCCGAAAGCCAGGAGATTCCTGTTTCACCTGCACTTAGCCCAGTGCATATACATCGGCATCTGTATGCTCTCCTGGCAGTGCCCTGGCAGCAAGCATCTGTATTGTGTCCTGGCTAGCGGCAGTTGTTGGGTAAGAGGAGGAGGGAGAAAGGCACGGTGGACCTCCAGGTGGGAGAAACCTGCCTTCCCTCAGGGGGAGCAAAGATGATGATAGCTCCCACAGTCCTGTGTCAGGGGACTGTGCTGGCCTGCCTGTCTGTCCCAGGACTCCAGGAGAGGCAATCCTGAGTGGCACCCTCTATCCCCACCCTACCTAGCTGCTTTCCCCCTAGAGCTACTTCTCAGCCTCCCACCCACAACCAATGCTCCTGAGGACCCCATGCCAAAGGTCTTTGGTGTTCCCTATGATTTTTGTGATCCCAAGTGAGAAGAATTCTCTGTTTCTGTTCCATAAGCTGTCCAAAGGTATACCAGTGACATGTTCAGAGGACTCTTCAGCCTGGGCAGGTGGGGGCACAGGCTCTGGGGCTGACACCAGGTCCATGGGGTGCCCGCTGCTGCAGGGCTTGTGTGTGCTGGCTGGGGAGCCAAGGGGAACCCTTCAGGTGTGCGTGCAAAGAGGACTTCATAAGGGGCTGTTGGCAGTACTTCCGCCCACTAGAAGCAAGGGAGTGACTGACAGTGCCTTGGAGCCAGCACCACTTTCCAATCTGCAGGCTCCAGGGAGGGACCTCCTAAGGAGGTGGCAGGTTCGGGCCCGGCGCGGTGGCGCAAGTGGTTAAAGGTCCTCGCCTTGCACGCCCGGGATCCCATATGGGCGCCGGTTCTAATCCCGGCAGCCCCGCTTCCCTTCCAGCTCCCTGCCTGTGGCCCAGGAAAGCAGCCGAGGACGGCCCAAAGCTTTGGGAACCTGCACCCGCGTGGGAGACCCGGAAGAGGCTCCTGGCTTCGGATCGGCATAGTATCGGCCCGTTGCGCTCACTTGGGGAGTGAATCATCGGACGGAAGATCTTCCTCTCTGTCTCTCCTCTCTGTATATCCGCCTTTCCAATGAAAAAATAATAAAAATAAATCTTTAAAAAAAAAAAATTTGTAAGGAGGTGGCAGGTGGCAGAAGCAGGATCTTCAAAAGAGGGATCCACGGACCCAGGCAGGGAATAAGCCAGTCGGCAACAGCCGTGACCTCACTCCCTGTGTGTCCACAACAGGCAAGAGAAGGGTGGGAAGAGACTTCTCCAGGCAGCCATATGATCATCACAGGCAATATGCCTGGGCCGGTGTGGGTGGATCTGGGTGTCTTTCCAGAAAGGACCCTGGGGAGCCATGCTGCCTTCCAATCACGTCACTGCCCCTGCCTCGAGGACTCTGGGAAAACTAACCACATCGATAATTTCAGGACCTGGAGGTGGCAAGACTCCTGGCACTTCTGACTTCAGCTTCCTGATGGGGCCAGGCAAGCACTCTAGGGAGAAGATGACATCTAAAGTCAGGCCAGAGCCAAGAGGAATTCAGCTTGGACTCTGCCTTGACGCCAGAGCTAGCTCTTTGAAAAATGTGGCAGGTTTTAGAAGTTGTCAGAGGGGAGTGAGTGTGAATGGCCAGGCTGTATTTTCTCTGGCATCTTCTGAGCCCAATGACGCAGAGAGAGCAGCCAAGAGATGGAGCTGTTGTAGACCAGGGTGTCGTGGGCACAGACACTCAGACATCAGCAACCTGAGGTTTTGCTCTCCGTGTTATAGCAGCATGCCCTACTTCTCCTTGGGCCAGCCTTGGGTTTTGCATAAATCACATCACATTTGTGGAGAGAAGCCTGTACTTTCTAGTGAAAGCTCCCTCCTGCAGCCTGAACAAGGGGCTTGCCTGAGACGTGGTTGCCTGGTGATCCCAGCCTCCTTTAGCGCATTCTGCCTGCAGCTTCTGTGGGTGTAGCCAGGAGCCCCACCTGGAGACAGGGCCCAAGGTCGCTTGCTCGGTGTCTGGAGCCTGGCTGCAGGCCTTCCTCTGCTCTGCCTCGCCTTGTGACACAGATGCTCTTCAGGCAGCCAAGGCCTGTCACAGACTCTTCACAGAAAGGCCTTTTGATCCTGGACTGGGGAGACCTGTCCCATGTGCTCCGAGCTGTCTCCGTGGGAAGCAGTGTGTCCATCCACCTGGCCGGGCTTTTGTCGGGAGGCCACCAACCTGAAAGTGATGCTGTTTGTCTAGCCTGGGTTTGAATCCCAGAGCAGCAGTTTTCTCGGTGTGTTGTAGAGGCCAGCAGTGATCCGTGGGCCTTCGAGACAAATGTCCTTACACACAACCAGTAGTCTCAGTGAGACTGAGCTGCCCCTCAGGCTCGGCCCTTCGCCTATAGCCTGGGCCCTGCAAGGCAGGCTAGCTACATTCCCCTGGGGCTCCCAGGGGCAAGGCATGCTGGGTGCTCCTCTCCTCCCGCTGGAGAAGGGCAGCCCACTGGCTCCTTAAAGGACACAATTGCCAGCTCTGTCACTTAGAAGCACTCTTGTACTTGAACTTCTCGGAGTCTGTTTCTCCATATGCAATTTGGGGAAAATAATGCCCACTGTGGGAGGTGAGGCTGTGGTCACTGCCCCAGGTGGCATGAGAGTGTGTGTGTTTTTGGTTTTAGGGGTTTAGTGGAGAGCACAGAGAGGAAAAAATCATGGACAGAATCACGAAGGAGCCACTTTCCTTAGTGTGTGTCAAAAATCAGCAGGGCCAAGTGCTGTGGAGTATTGATAATGTCGGTGCCTGTGCTACTGGCATCCCCTATAAGCACTTGTTCGAGTCCTGTATGCTCCACTTTTGATTCAGTTCCCTGCTAGTGCACCTGGGAAAGGAGCAGAAGATGGCCAAAGTGCTAAGCTCCTGCATCCATGTGAGAACCTGGGAAAAGCTCCTGGCTCCGTTCTGGCCCAGTTCTAGCTGCTGTGGCCATTTGGGGAGTGTACCAGTGGATAGGTCTCTATCTCTGTCTCTCTTTCTGTAATGTTGCCTTTCAAATAAATCATCTTTAAAACAAATAGCCCTCACTCTTTCAAGGCTCATACTGGGGAAGAGGCTCCAGGGAGAGTGGCTCTGACCCCGTGGCACAGTGAAGTCCGGAGTCCAGCACGCCTGTTTTGCTCTGTCAGGGCCAGCCGTGTGACCTTGGATGAGGTCAACGCCTCTCTGGGCCTCAATGTCCAGCCCTGGCATCCTTCCAGAACCACTGTCCTGTTGCCTCAGATCCAAATGACTGTGCTCACTCTTCTCCTTTGGAAAAAATACAGGGTCTTAGCTGCACGCTAGAAGAGATGGGGGCTGGGTGTGGCTTCTCCCCTTATCTGCCCCTTTCCCCCAGATACAGGAAGGAAAAAAGAGAATGTGGAAATGGTGATCTCACCCACCTTCCTGTAGCCCTTGACCCTAATCACCCTAATCTATGTAAAAATCATTAAAAATAAAAATATTTAATAAGTTTTAAAAGATGGGAGACAAGGAAGCTCACTCACTCGGCCAGCTCTGTGGGCACCCTCGGGCTGCCTGAACTCTCCCTGGATCCATGGGGTCTCCTGGACTGGCCTGGGGCACGCAAAGCTGTGTGGAAGAGGGCTGGCCGTCTTAGTCCCCAGCAGAGGTCTGGAGAAGGAGCTCCGTGTCCATGCCGGCCAGTGCCTGTGTGTCCTTTAGAACAGCTGTGCCTGGGGATTGAGGCAGAATCCTTGGGTGGTGGATTCCAAAGTGGTAATAAACAATATGCAATTAGTTCCTTTGTCCAAATGAAAAAGGCAAGCTTGCTCAGGCTGCTTGTTAATTCCAGGCCTTTCATCCACTTGGCAAGTGCGTCAGACGCGAGCCAAGGCGCCCCCCTTGGGCCCAGGGAAATGAAAAGGCTGGGTTGCAGAGCCTCACGCTTCCCAGCTTAGATCCCTCTGACGTGGCTGGGGGTGTGAGGTCCTACACTCCTTGGTGTGGCGCTGAGCAGGGTCTGGGCTTGCAGGTTTGCATTGCTGTCCTGCTGCCATGCTCCCGTGCTCCCATGTGACTTGGGCCAAGTCACTTTCAACTACAGATCCTCCGAATCCCCAGTGACAGATGAGCAGATTTTATAGCAGCCCCTGCCCTCCCACAGTACTTTCATGGCTCTGATAGAAACCTCTAGAAAATCTGTGAAGGCAAAGGTAAGGCAGCCAGAGCATTGCTCTTCCAAGCCAGGTGTCATCAGTGGTGGTGACAGTGGCGTCTGTCTGCAGTGTCTGTTACATGCCAGGCCCTGGCTGAGGGCTTCAGCCCCTTCCATTTGCATAATCATTACACACGGCAGTACCAGTCCCATCCGTATTTTATAGAAAGGTCAAGCCCCGTGGCTCGGAACGCACAGCTTGGGAGGTCTGAGTGACAGTTCCTGGCCTCTAGGGTGATGGCTAGTGGTCTTCTTTGGCTCATCTTAGTCGGTGGTCCTCAGCCCTAGCTGCTCAGATGCCAGGCATCACGGCCCCCCAAGGAGGGCTGAGTCTGAGCAGCGGGGCCAGCCCCAGCATTGGCATGTGGCTCCCTGGGGGTCTTTGTGGTTCGTGTGGAGCAACGCTCTTCCAGAACTGTTGTGCTCAGAGCAGCAGAGCAGTTTGGGAGTGCCTTAGCCAGGTTTCCTCTGTTCTTTGTCCTCCTCCCCTGTGGAAAGAAGGGCTTGTGTGGGGCAGGGTACTTACAGGGGCCTCTGAGAGTCTATTCTCTGAGATGCTCATGAGGAGAACTGCCACTCTTTTCCCCATTTTGTTTTAGGCAGAATATGAAGTCACCCCGGATGAAAAGCTGGGAGAGAAAGGCAAGGAGATTCTGACCAAGCACCTCACCCCCAAGGTAAGACCCCCTCAGACCCCATCTTAGGAAGCCCCCATAACCCCTGCTGCAAGACGAAGGGTCCCAGGTGACTACCAGGGAACATGGGATCTGGGAAGCATTGGGACGTGGTGGCCTCATTCATCCAACCCAGAGCGTGCCTGAGCCTGGTGGGGCCAAGAGGTGAGGGGTCCCAAGCCAGGCTCCCCAGGGGACATGGAGTCTGCTTTCTGGGACCCAGGTCCCTCCAAGAGCCTGGTGCTACCCACCCTCGTGATTGTGGCAGGACAAGTGGCCGCCTGGCCGTGGCAGGGTCAGACTGAGCAGGAGTGATTGTGAGAGATTGATGTGGAGGGGCGGGGGTGGGGTGGCAAGCTTTTTCAGCAGAGCACACCACCCGTGGCTGCAGCAATCAGGGGAGCCCACAGGAGAAGGGGGCAGCTCTGAGGTGTGTTCCCTGTGTGCCAACGGGCAGGGCTGCGTGCTGAGGGCTGAAGGAACGGGGTCCTCAAGGCCCTGCTTCCTCTGAGGCCAACTTGCTAGGACAGTGAGCCCACAGCCCATGCTGAGCCACACCCCACTCCCTCCCAGAGTGGGGTCTCCCCTCCAGACCCCTCACTGAGGCTCTCAATGGGCAGCTATGGTGGGCAGCACCACCTGTCAGCAGAGAACCAAGCATGTGAGAGTAATGGGTGAGTAAATAAGCTGCAGCTTTCTTACCCCCTCCACTCTCAAGCAGGGACCATTGTCTGTGTGTTTGGCACTGACCACGCAGCCAATACTGTGGAATGTCTTGTAGATGATGTCGGGCTTGTCAGTTCCCGGGAGCTGGCCAGGGGGCTAGCTGGACAGTCCAGTCAGATGTGTGTGTTGGGCCCTGTGATGGCAGCCCGCCTTTCATCACCACAAACCAGGAGTGATGCAGGTGGCAGGACAGGTATCCCGAGGAGGGGAGGGTCACTCTGAGCTAGGGTAGACTGGGTAGTTTTTCTCAAGATGTATTTATTTTACTTGAAAGTCAGAATTATGGAGAGACAGAGATATTTTCTATCTGCTGGTTCACTCCCCAAATGGCCACAACAGCCAGAACTGGACTTGTCCAAAGCTGGGAGTCAGAAGGTGCTTCCAGGTCTCCACATGGGAGTAGAACTCAAAGGACTTGAGCTTCTTCTGCTGTTTTCCCAAGCCGTGAGCAGGGAGCTTTAACAGAAGTGGAACAGCCTGGACGTGAACTGAGCCCATATAGGTTACAGGCACCACAGGCTGAGGATTAGCCACTGCACCAGCCCTAGGCTTTATTTTTTCTTTGAGATGTATGAATTTGTTTGAAAGGCAGAGACACAAAGAGAGGAAGAAAAAAGAGAGAGGGAGAGAGAAATCTATGACTTGGGTCTTCCACATGGGTGGAACGCTTGGGTCATCCTCAGCTGGATTGGAAGTGGAGCAACCGGGACTTGAACTGGGACTATACAGGATGCTGGCATCACAGGTGGCAGTTCAAACCACTGTGCAACAACACCAGCCTCTGACTATATTATTATTATTGTTGTTATTGTTGTTATTGTTGTTATTTTAATACTGACCTTATTGAACTCTAATTCACAACCATCAAATTCACCTTCTCAAGGTTTGTAATTCAGTGATTTCAGAAAATGTTCAGGGCCTGGCGCAGTAGCCTCCTTGCATGTGCTGGGATCCCATTTAGGCACCAGTTAGAACTGCTCCACTTCCCATCTAGCTCCCTGCTCATGGCCTGGGAAAGCAGTCAAGGACAGTCCACGGCCCAGGGACCCTGTACCCGTGTAGGAGACCCAGAAGAGGCTTTGGGCTCCTGGCTTTGGATTGGCGCAGCTCGATGGCCATTGCGGCCACTTGAGGAGTGAATTAACGGATGGAAGATCTTCCTCTCTGTCTTGCCTCCTCTTTGTATATCTGACTTTCCAATAAAAATTTAAAAGTAAATCTTTTTTTAAAAAAAAAAGTGTTCAGTCATGTAACCATCACCATAGCCTGATTCTTGAACATTTTATCACCCTAAGAAAATATTCCATCCCCATTGGCACTCACTTCTGGTCCCCCTTTCTCCCAGTCCTGGCCACCATCTGCTTTAGGTCCATGGGTCTGTGTAAATGGAGCACCATGTGGTGTGTGGCCCCTGAGACTGGCTCCATCCACTTGGCATGGTGTGGTGTGGTATAGCGTCTGTTCCTTTTTATGACCAAATGATGTTGCCTGTTGCCTGGAAACACCAGGCATGTTTGTCTTGTCCTCAGTGAGTGGACACATGGCAGGATCTGCCCCTTTTGGCTGCGTTGATTCATGCTGCGGCGACCATGAGGCACACGGGTTTGTGGAGCACAGGTCTTGCACGGCCCTGGTGCGTTTCCAGGGTGCAGTGGCTGGTCGTTTAAGACCCCATCTGTGTGCTGCGCCGTTTGGAAGCGTCTGAGGACTCCCCTTCCCCACGCCCTCGTCTACACTCGCCCTTTCCTGTGTTTCTGCTTTTTCCGTCCCAGTAGGTGGAAGGGTAGCTGGGTGTGCTTTTTACTGGCATTTCCCTAGTGACTAACAGTGCTAGACATCTTTTCCTGTGTTTCTTGGCCATTCTTTGGAAAATGTGTGTTCCAACCCTTTGCCCGGTTTTCAGTCGGGTTGTTTTGTCTTCAGTGTTGAGTGGTAGGAGTTCTAAGTTGGGGGTCAAATCTCTTATCAAAGTGTTGAGTGTTTTCTCCTAGCTTCTGAATGGGTTTTGTTTTTTCACTTTCTTGATGGTGTCCTTTGAAAAACAAAGGTTTTTGATTTGAATGAAATTCTCTCTTGTTTAACAAAAAGATTTATTTACTTATGTGAAAGGCAGAGTTTCAGAGAGAAGTGGGAAGGTCAAGTAAGAATGCCAGAAAATAACCGTTTAATTCATGCTTATGGCTCAGTGTGATTGCATTACGGCTTGGAACTTCATAAGAACTTCTCATCATCCTTGGAAGTGACAGGCTGACTTCCACATCCTGTTCTGGCAAGCTAGGGAACCCCTGGCCGAAACTTCAGGCTCACCCCTGGACCTCATTTACCTTGAGGGAAATAGCCTGGAGTCCCTATAAGCATAAATCCAGCCCAAGGCCTCCAGGATGTGGCTGGCTTGGCCACATCCCTCCCTTCCAAGGACCTGCTGTGTCCTCTGGTTGGGTCTGGACGCCCAGGTGATGGCCCCAGGCCCGGCTTGTCACCTCTGCTGTGATGGCTCTGCCTCTCCCACAGCACCCAGAGCAGCACTCCCTCCTCCTGTAGTGAATGCTGTGAACCAGCAGAGGGAAGATGTGGGTGGGACACAGCTCCCTGCTCCCTCCATTTCCTCAGGCCCTGACTGTGCAGGTTGCATGGAACACACCTTGAAAACTATCAAGTCTGATAACTTTGTGGTGTAACGATTTCGGCCTCAGCCTGCCACAACGTTATCAGACTATGGTGATCATTTCGGGGATGAGCCAGAGGGTGGAAGATCTCCATCACTCTGTCTCTCTGTCATTCTGCCTTTCAAGTATAAAATAAATAAATAAATAAGTAAGTAAGTAATTTAAGACATTATGCTAAGTGAAATGAGACAGACAGGAAAAGCCACACTTTATGCTGCCCAGAGAATAGGGGTCTGAATTAAACAAAGCTGTGGAGACAGACAGGAGATTAGTGTGCTGGGAGGACAGGAGCGGAGAGTCATGTTCATGGGGTCACTGTTCAGCAGGACAGCATATTCTGTTCGGAATGCTAAAACATGTGGGAAGCATTAGTGGTGGTGGTTGGCAGGGGGATTCCAAGGAATGCCACTAATGGCACTCTTTACAGTGGCTTAAGTGGCAACATTTATGTTGTGTCTTTTTACCACAGTCAATGAAAATGACAAGAAAGAGGGAAGCCAGGATTGCTGCAGCCCTGGTCCATCCGTTCGGGAGCCAGTGGTCCTTCTCTGTGCCTGCCTTCTCCCAACTTAGCGAGTTTGCTTTGAAGACATCTGAGATATAGCCAGGCCAACAAGGCCTAAATATGAACAAGTCCCAGAGATTAGATGGGCTTATAACCCAAGGATGTCCACACTGGTTTCCCTCAGCCCCAAGCCCAGGTCTTGGCTTCCGCTCTGCACTGTGTGGGTAGCCAGTTCTCACACTGCAGTTTCCATGGGCAGAGCTTTCCACAATGCATTTCTTTGAGTCACAGATAAAAGCTTGCACTTAACCACCTCATGCCCCCAGATGCTGGCAATGGCCACCGGCAGGCCCGGTGGAAAGTGGGAGTCAGGGACTCAATCCGAGTCTCCCATGTGAATGCTGGAACTCAGTCACCCGAGCCGTTACCTTCGGCCTCCCAGCATTCGCTCTGCAGGAAGCTGGAATTGGGAACTGATGCTGAGAACCAAACCTGGGGACTCCAGTGGGGACAAAGAGGTCTTAACCTTCAAATGACTCTACAATTATTCTGGTTTTTTGTTTTGTTTTAAGATTTATGTATTTAAAAGGAAGAATGAGAAAGAGAGAAAGAGATCTTCCATCTGCTGCTGGTTCACTCCTATATGGCCACAGCAGCCGAGGCTGGGCCAGGCCAAAGCCAGGAAGCAGGAGCTTCTTTCAGGTCTCTTATGTGGGTGCAGGGGCCCAAACACTGGTGCCATCCTCTGCTACTTCCCCTGGCACGTTAACGGTGGGAAGAGGAGCAGCCAGGACTCAAGCCGGTACCCATATGAGATGCCAGCCCTTGATGCAGCAGCTTTATCCACTATACCACAGCCCTCCCTCCCCTGTGTGGTACGTGTCATTATTGTCCACACAGCAGCAGCAAGCCCTCCCTAACCTTTCTCTCTGTCCACACCCTGACTGTGTCCCGCGTCCTGCTGATATCCTTGGGCTGGCGTGTTGGGGGCTCCTCACCCCTGGCCAGGCCTGTGGGGCCCTCTTCCTCTCTCGTGACCCTCCAGGTCAGAAAGTGGATCTGCCTGTGATGTCAGAGGGGCCACTGTGCCACTGACCCCATTCTTC